AATTTGGTATTGATAGATCTTAACAAGGCTTACACGTCTGCCTATTTCGGTAGTCTGATTTTCTTTGCAGATAAGCAGACGCAAGAAGTGGGATGGACAGAATTCGAAAGACTCTCATATGTACTTAAAAATAAATATATACCTCAAATACTGCAAACCAAATGTTTTAATTCCTGTATCCTACTTGTACTTACATATGGAGCTTAAACCTGGACATTTACTAAAATAAACATGGAAAAGATCAGAAAAACTCAAAAAAGAGCTATGGAACGACAAATGCTGAGTATCTCACTCAAACACCATAAAACCAATGAAGACATTCGTAATAGAACAAAAGTACCAGATGCTGTCAAACAGGCAGCTAAACTGAAATGGAGTTGGGTTGGACATAACGAACGTCTTAATGATGGCCGATGTAATAGAGAAATTGAAAATTGGCTGCCACAAGAAGACCGCAAATGCGCTGAAGCATCGATATTAAAAAAACTGCAGGGCCAATGTGGAAACGTCCTAAAAACAACAGAGATAAATGGCGAGAATTAGGAGTGGTCTATATTCAGCAATCCGAATAGAGTGAAGGGCTTAAAAAACAAAGAAGGCCTATGATATAGTTTCTTAATGAAGATATATGAGAGAGAAATGGGTTTCTGAGAAGTACGTAAAGCTCGTGAAGGATATATGTATAAGGGAGCATACCCCAAAGTGAGCACTTCTATCGGGTTGACTGAAGTTTTTAAGTGACCGTTGGTTTGCATCAAAGTTCTTCACTAAGTTCCCTTCCGGTTTAATCTTGTTATGGATGTACCGACAGAGAAGGCAAGAGAGTGGGCTCCTTAGTAAATATTCTTTGCGGATGGTATCTTATTAGTGGAGAAAAACTTAGAAATATTGGAGAAGTTGAAGGACTATTGAAGAGGGAGGTTAGCAGGTCTAAACGGTGTATATTGTAAGACAAACAATAGTGGTTGAAGGTATCGAATTGCTTGAGAAAAAACTAGAACGAGTAGAAGAATTGAAACACTTTGGCTAATAGATAACGGAAAATGCGACACTAGATCGAGACATTGACCACAGAATACAGACTAATTGGTTAAACTGGAAGCAAATGAGTGAGGTAATAAAAAAATTGCTGAAGTGCCAAAAGAAAAGATATACAGAGTGTAACTAGACCTGAGTTGGTTGTAAGGAAGTAAAATATGACCTATAAAGATGATTCAGAAAAGATAAAGTTAGTTAAAGTAAAAATATCACGGTGGACGTTGGATAGGAGTAGAAGGAGCAAACTTAGTAATGAAGTAATTAAGGAAAGAGACGGAATAACTTCGGTCTAAAAAAAAAACGTTCAAAAATAAACACTGTAATAGGTTAGTTACATTAGACCTAGAAATGAGAATTGTGTGGGACTAAGGATACAGCTGTTAGAAGTTAAGGTAAAGAAAGGTAGAGGAAACCTGAGTAAGAGATAGAAGGTCTTTGTGGCATAAATTCTTAAAAAGAAATGTTTTAACTAAATAAACCAATAGACAGAAATAATTGGCGAAGAGAAATAATTGGCGAAGAAGAGTAAAAAACAGCGACCTCTGAATAGGGAAAAGCTAAGAAGAAAGAAAAAGAAGAAGAAAACATATATATATATTATTTTGTGGGATTTCAAGTGGTTTTTTAATCTCGACTTTTGGGTAAAGTTATGAGATAAAGTTTTGAAATAAACAATGTTGGAGAAATACTGTGTCAATTTCATCTCAACGCGGAATGACTTGATGAGGTGTTTTTATATTTCTATAGTTTTAATTAGCGATATAACCCTCTCTGTGGCTCATTGGTAAGAGCGCCTACTTTTAAACCTAAAGGTCGTGAGTTCGAATCTCGTGAGAAATTTTCGTTTATTAAAAATTAATTAATGAAAATAATTTCTATCCTTGTGCGATCGGTACTCACCGGAGGGACTGCAGACGTTCGGATACAATTAGCGTCTCTTGGCAAAGACAATGACGTCGACTTTGCTAAGTATCAAGACAATTACTCTACACACACACACACACACACACACACACACACACACACACACACACACACACACACTACACTAGCTACCTGACTGTACCATGCCAATGATCTTAGTTGTCGAGGCATTAACTCAATAATAAAAAAATTAGGGGATATATAGTCTATTCGGTTTGTGTTTTCCAGTACACTTTTATTCAACAGAACTAAAACATTTTCGTTATAAATAAATATGACTGATTAATGTAAGATTATATTACTATCACTCATAAAAATATGAAGATGTAGAAGTAATTCAAGAAAGAACGGAACAAAATACAAATCTATCTTTGTATCTGTTTCTGTAATCTGTTTCCAATTTTGATCAAACTTTTCTCACTTTCATTATTTAATTATCTATAAAAAAGTCCTTTGAAAACTTGTATATTATGTTTAGTCCTCCGATTCAGGAAACTCTTCTGCATCAAATTTGTAAACTTTAAGTCCACAAACTTCGCGAAATACATAATTAAGTATTTTAAATATTTTCTTTAAGAATCGTCACCTTTATTTGACATCTCACTAGCTCTCTAACTAAACGCCTCAGTGACCTATTATAAAACATCGCATAAAGGTCCACAATTGGACTTATTACAATGTGGCTTCAAAAGGTAGCGTCTGCATTGTTTGCCATGACAATGGATATTCTGAAAGAGATGCGCCGCGTCGTCTTTGCCCCGTTCGCAGCGAAGTTTTTCAAGAGTGAAATTGAAAATATGCACCTTTTAAGATTGAAGCATTGAGTAGCTGGTTGGAGCATCGAAATCAGGCTTTTAATTTTTCCAGAAGAATATTCTTGTAAAACATAAAATAATACTTTATTAATAAACCCATTTTACAACTTTAATTTTAATTCTTTTCTTGAATGTTTTACGTTAACTTTTTGAAAACACCGATGTTTATATTTATATTTAAAGACATTTAGATTTAAAGATATTTGTTAGTTGCATGACAGATTTAAATAAAGAAATACTAAAATATACAAGCAAATGATATGGATATCATACAAACAAAGGTAGGTTTTGGATCAGTTGTCCCGAACAGGACTAAGTGTATAGACTATTAATTAATTTTATACATCATGTGCTTGAAAAGAAAGGTCTTTCATCAATGAGTACTCTTAGTTCTAACGTATAAAGCAGAAACATTGACCCTTGCCAGAAAAGTAATTAATAAAATACAAGTGGCACAGAGAGCGATGGAGCAATGCTGAATATATCCCTCAGAGACAAAGTATCAAATACAATATTTAGGAGAAAAACTGGTGTTACTGACGCAATCCAAACGATTACATCATTGAAAGGGAACTGGGCGGGCATTTTGCCAGATTAAAAGATGGGAGGTGGACAAAGAAAATTATGGAATGGAGATCTAGACACGATGCTTATCGTAATCAAGGACGTCCTCCAACAAGGTGGTCAGATGACATCAAGCGCATTAAGCACAACTGGATTCTAGGGTGCTCAAGATAGAATGCATTGAAATTATTTACGGGAGGCCTATGTCCAGCAGTGGACTCAAAACGGCTGCTGATGATGATGATGACATCTATAAACTGAAATACAACACTGCCTGCGCTAATTACAGGATGGATTAGGTAGCTCTGTGGTTACCAAGCCCGGATAAAATGTTGAGAGTAATTGGCAAAGTTAGCAGCCTACCATCTGTATCTGTAGAGTAGGGAGGGCGAGTTAGGTTTCACAGCACTTAGACCAAAATTGACTATTGTGCATCCTCCCAGGAAGCTGTCGCCCTTAGCTTATTATCCATCCTAGGAAGGTGTGACAAGTCACCAGGAGATATTTCTCTTATGTGGGCAGATATGGGCCAGGACTCGCCGAACGCGTACTCTCGTATTAACGATAACTCCGGGGCATTCACATAGAACATGCTCTCCAGTTTCGTCTTCTCGTTCATACTTTCTACATAGAGGTCTGTCTGCTAGCCCCAGTGTGTGGAGATGTTTGCTTAGTTGACAATGACCAGTTAAAACACCAACTGTCAAGCGTGGGTTTTTCCTGGTCATTCCCAAGTACTTTTTAATGCTGACTCTTCAAGTTTACTTAGTGTTACCCTGGCAAGTTTACATCCTTGCCCATCTTCCCATCTTTTGACGGTTTGCGTATGGGACTGACATTTGACAATTTCCGCGATTGTTGTAGTTGACCACCCAAAAAGATCGCCAGGTCCTAAGGGTTTAAGGACTGCCGCCTTCCTAGCCAATTGGTCAGCAATGCGGTTGTCTTTATTTCTATTGTGTCCCTTAACTCACCTCAGGATGATGGTATTACCATCTGAAGCCTGGGTTGGTGACTCGTGACATTCCATTACTAACCCTGATGTGACACGTGGTCTATTCAAGGTTAGTAGTGCTTGTCTGCTATCTGTGCAGATCATTTTAGTTTTTTCTTGCTATACCTTTTTGGGTTATCTCTATTGCGGCTATGGAGATACCAGACAGTTCTGTCTGAACTACGCTGGCATTTTTGCCCATGCCCCACTTTATTCTTAGGTTCAGTGATCTGCAGTATATCCCGCATCCTGAGTCTTTTGGAGCCCACGTTTGTCTCCCTATACTCTCTTGCTTTGATTTTGTAGGGTTTGTTAAAGGCAAACTTTGGTTCAATTGAATCGCAGCCTGCCTGTAGCAGTGGTACCGCATCCAGCTCTCCCCGCCAGAAACGAGTTTCTCAATTTCCCCATTCCTACATCAAGGTTTGCACCAGCTGAGCGCAAGTCGCATCATTGTCACTAGCGCCTAAGTGTCATACTTTTAACAAATTGACAATAAAACCAAAATACTGTGTGATTTTAATATTAACCGTAATCTACTCAAAGATAATTTTAAAAACTGTTTTTTTTTTTAGGTAATCTGCCCTAATAATAATACCAAATAAATTTTAACACCATATAAAATCAACAAAATATATGAAACTATTTAGAGTGGTGTTACTTACATTCGTTCCATTTAAAACACAAAATATTTTCTGCAAAGGACAATGTTCATCCAATACGTTATACTTTTCATTATAAAATACATCTAGAACATAATGCAGTGGTAACATTGATTCTGATGAATGTTCTTGAACTAAAACGTACGCAGTATATCCATGGGGTATACCGTATCCTAAAAGCAGCCATGCTTCCACTTTCAACGCTAACAAGTAGCAAGTCAGAGCTATACAATGGTCGGTTATCGAGCCTAACATAAAATTAATAAATTGCTAAAAAATAAATTATTAATTTTTAAGACAAAAGGTATATCATAGATTTAAAAAAAATAAGTAAATATGACTATAAATCTCGAAAGGGGAAATTCAAATATTTCTGTAAACGACACCAAAATTCAGATTTTTGCTTTAATCTGTGCCTTCTATAAATTTGCAAGGCAAAACAGACGATACTAAAGATGTAAGAGAAGTATGGGGAATCTGAAAATTGCATTCCTCCACATTTCCTCCTCATCTGAGCAAAAAACATTGGCGAATCGATTTCTTCTGTACATATGTATGCAATATATAATGTTGTATATATGAATGTAGTAAACCGAAATAAAAGAAAGGACAGTGAATATTCGATTTCACGTATAGTGCCTAGTACAGAAGCTCTAAATGTGAAAAAAATCTCTTTCGTCCAAATATTGTTATGTAATTGTTTTGCTACAAGTAGCACAAAACCAGCTAATTAGAGAAGCACTAAACGTACCAAGATATGTACCTCTACGGTACTTATACAGGGATACAAAACAGACAAGAATTCTTCATACAATGAACGAAAAAGCATATGACACCTTTAATGAAATAAGAAACCACCCTAAACGGCCTAATAAGCGGCCTAAACAACAAATAGCAGGATATGTCCCAGTAGCATAAAACAGAGTAAAGTCAGAGATAGGCACAGACTAATAAAAGGCAACGTGGGTTAGAAGTAGGAAAAAAAAGGGTAACAACTGGGGTCTGGCATTTTAGAGTTCCAGGCACCAGGAATTACTCACCAAAAAAATAAATAATCTTAAGTCTTAATATTAGCATAAAAACTCAACAAAATACCTTCTAACTTCGCGGGTGAATTATAGTGTCAATGGAAATAGTTTTTTCATAATCCGGGTGCGATAAGATACGTGATAGTGATACTGACTCCTGTCACATATATACATATACGCGATAAATGGTACACAGAGAGCCATATGCTCTCCTCGTACAGCCAACTTGTTGCTTAGGCCCTTAAGGCAGATCCGATGGAAGACCAGCAGCGCGACTCCCGAGCATCGAGACCATGTGCGGCAAACATGGGCTCGGTGGCCGGTCCAGTCGGGTGCTCAGCTGGCGAGGAGAAACAAATTAATTTTTGCCAAATCGGCAGCTGAGTGTCCGAACACACACATTTCCCTGTACAGAGGGGCACCAACTTAGGTTGGTGCCCTCTCCGTGCGGGGGCACACACTTTTTAGGGACATCAGGTCCAAAGTAATGCTCATACCAAGTAAATTCAGTAAAGTAACTAGGGAGAAAAGCTTCTAGCTACCCCTTAATTTCAGGTGGCTTAACCACAGCCATGTCGATACTGAGGGTTTTGTTCATTACCCAAATAGCCCGACGTAAAGTTCATAAGCCTTTGCTACTTATGTCACACGTAGTAAAGGGGATGAGGAAAAACCGGGGGGTCAGACAGGTACCGATCCAGAATGATTAGCTCTTCTGTAGCGAGACCGGTTTGATCTTCGGACATGTGGATCCCGCTGACTAAAAGTGGTATACACATGTCACTAGGGGTTGGGTTTGAACGCCTTCGCGTGTGTATGTGTGTGTAATTGTTTTGCTTCTCTAAAGGTTATATTTTCTACTGCCATTATTTTCTTTAGTTTTCTTTTGTGTCTCGTATATTAGACATTTTCTAGACAACCAGTTGTCATCGTTGGTTTTACAATATATGCAATAATTGTACATTTTTTAAATCTACTATCCTTAAATTTGCATTGTTTTAAGGAGAGACCATATCTCAGACATTTACAACATTGCAGCACCAGATGAAGGCATGGATCTACTAAGAAATTGCAGAAATTAATTATTATGTTTTGTGGAACCTTGTTGCCCAAAAGTTCTACAATTATCACTTGTCTTGGTACTAATTGGGTTGTACCATCATTGTTCGTTATTTTCCGTTGCATCCTTTTAACATTAACCACTTCTTATGATTAATTATTTTATTTGCTATAGAATAAGTTTTAAAAATAACTTTTACCCTATTAATACCAACTGTTTTTATATCAATTGCATTGGTTTTTTTAACGAATCATTTAATAAAAAATGTCCTACCTTCATTGGGAATAACCTACCAAAATTTTTTATTTTTCTGTTGAATATATACGGATTCAATATAAAGAATGAAGCCTTATCGTTGGGTTTATACCAGTTTCCAAAATCAATTACAGGCCTGTTTACATCCATATAAGTTTTTTTCAGAAGTGTTTCAGAATAAAATTCTTCTGGCGGTTTACGACCACCCATAGCGTAATCTTCCATAACTAGATTTTTTAAATACTAAAATTATGTGCCTAATTTGCACTAAACAAATTCACAAAGTAACACAACACTGATCACTTCGCACTAAATTCGCACCAAAAGCAATATTAAAACGACCGTCTTCTACGGCTATCGACACGATACCGTGATGAAATGCGTATAAACGAATATACAGAGGCACTTTACGTAAAAGCAAATCTTAACTGTCCTGTTTTTTTATGGTTTACTCTTTATACGTACAAGAAACCAAGTCACCAAAGAGTTTTGATTTGATGAGGAGCTATGTTGTGAAATGCAACTGATAGATTCTGTTTATCTCTCTTACATATTTGACATAGTCTTTTTTTATTGTTGAGTTAATGCCTCGACAACTAAGATCATTGGCATGGTACAGTCAGGTAGTGTGTGTGTAGAGTAATTGTCTTGATACTTAGAAAAGTCGACGTCATTGTCTTTGCTAAGAGACGCTAATTGTATTCGAACGTCTGCGGGTCCCTCCGGTGGTACCGATCGCACAAGGATGAAAATTATTTTTATTCATTAATTTTTAATAAGCGAAAATTTCCTCACCCAGATGACATTCGAACTAACGACCTTTAGGTTTAAAGGTAGGCGCTCTTACCACTGAGACACAGAGGGGATATTTGCCTTATTTGCCTTATTAAAGCAAAAATCTGAAGTTTGATTTTCTTAATAGAAATCTTTGGATATCTACTTTCGAGATTTATTGAGATGTCGCTATAGCGTCCAAATTAAGCTATTTTATTATTGCTTTTTTTGACGTAAAATATTTGTTTTCACTGTTAGAGCTTCTGTACCAGTTACTCTGATGATTTCTGCTACGATAAAATAAAATTTAAGCAAATATACAGAGACACTACAAGTGACATCAAATCTTAACTGTCCTTTCTTTTAAATATGACTATCCTGTATAGACAGATCCAACTTTTAATATAGTGATATATGATGATTGTAAATGCTCTTTCGGAGAGCGCTCAGGGAAGTGGGTAAAAGAATGATTATCAATAAATCAATAAATTCTTCGATTGTTACTTTTGTCTTTATTAAAGATTTCTTTTCAAAATCAATTTAAAATCAATAGTAGAACAATAAAGTGAAAAGGTTAGTTAACAAGTCATTATTATAACCACTGCAGTGGGGTTCTAATTACAGTGTCTTACTAAAAAAATTGAGAAATTTAGTGTAATGTTTGATTCTACCAAAATCAAGAATAAATGTCCACTTAGCTGTTAGAAAGTCTATCTTCTTGAGTTCTGGAGACTCGATCCCAGGTGAGTACTTAATATTTATTATTATTATTTCCTTTAATAATCCGATGTTTTAGGTTCTTTCTCTCTTATGGACAATTGGATATTATCCGATCCTAACTAATATGGAAAACTGATAGCCAATCCCTTAAGGAGTCACGAGATGATAAATATTAGTTGAAAAGATGATCAAAATGGTTTGGGATTAAATCACAGAGTAAAATAAAAAAGGCCTAAAAAAAATGTTATTATGTTTAAAACGTAAGTAGTTATTTATTTTTTCCAAAAGAAAACCTACCTTTGTTCAAATGTGGCCTTAAAGTGTTTCTAATACGAAATCAGTTTGTAAAATCGAGTTTCTTTTAGTTTTAGAAAACAAATCCACACGATAGGTGATAATTGCTCAGCTTCTCACTGCTACAACTATTAAATTTTCGGAAAACTATCAAGAAAACTCTAGAAAAGCCGCAAAATTGCGTTGTAAGTTCTACACGAACCAATACTTTTTCATACAAAAGACCACCAAAGAAAGGAAAAGAAAAAAATTAAAGATAAGTTTTTATAATCTGGCGCCGGCCATTGTCCAGTAAGAATTTATTTAAAATAAGTTGTTGTACTACTAATAGGATTGAGATCTGTTTAAAATTACAAGAAGAAGAATTCTATCAAGCTATTTTGACATTAACCTTTAAAATAAGAAATAGGTTTTATGGTTTGTTTATTTTTAATTCAAAGTTTATTATTCATTTAAATTAATACTTATTTTTGTTTTAGGCTGTACAAAATCAAGGAAAGAACGAATAGCTCATCTCAGAGACCAAATAAGACTTGGGAATGCATTTATTTTTTATGAAATCTTGTGGAGTTGTTAACAATTATTTAGCCAAAAATAAAATAATAAAACTTTATTTCAATAATTTATTCTGAATTCTTTGGACCTGTAACAACACCCCCCTTTCCTACAAAAAGTTTCTACGAAACTTTTAATTTGTAATTTAACAAGTGAATAAAACAAAAGTAGATTTTTTTTTTTTTTTTTTTAAGCTTAACTAATAAAAAAATAACTAATTTTCATCGCTATCGTCCGGAGGCTTAGATTTTAAATCTTTAGCATTCCAGGTACCAGCATGAACACCTTTCTCATCGATAAGTTCGTAAGTCCATGGTGAGACGATTTTCCCAATAGAGAAGGGACCAACAAACTTTTGCGCTAATTTGGCGCTGAAAAACTTAGACGCGTCCGACTTCACATAATTTCTTCTCCAGACCATATCACCAATCTTAAATGTTTCACTGCGATGTCGCAAATCATATGGCTTCTTCCTTTTCAGGTAGGCAGACTTTAAACGTCTTTTAACATCAGCAAACAAATTCTCTAAGGCTACCTGCTTATCCTTTACGTTGGTGACTACGTTCCTTGGTAGGTTTTGCACA